AATATGTTGTCAAAATCTGTCTTTATTTGTCTAATCTGTGTCCTTATGTGTCTTTATTTGTCTTTTTTTGTCTTTTGTTTGTCAAAATTTGGCTGGGCCGGCCCAAAAACTTACTTGATTCTAAGTCCCTTGAATCTAGGTCGCCGCAACCGGTCAATGATTTAGCGTGTACTCGAGTGCCACTACCGACGTTCGCGGGCGAGTGGTTGTATGCCTGTGTGCATGAATTTGTATATATGTATGCACGCAGGCATGCATGCATGCGTGGAGGTGTGTATGTGTATGTGCACACATAACTATGTAAGTAAGTATGTATGCATGCATGATGTCTGTGTGTAACCCTCTGTGTGTATGCATGTGCGTGTGTGTGTGTGTCTCAACAGAAGTATCAGACATACAAAACATGCAAGCCTAGATCCCCCAAACAATGAAAAAGCACCACAACGGCCATGGCGGACCACTGGGACTACAAGGACCACCATGACGACCACTAGGACCACGACAGGCGCATCAGACCAAGAGGATGTCAGTGAGCCACTACGGTCACTAGGGCACCCCAGCACCCGACCCAGAGAGCACCAGGAGATGACCCGAAAACCCCAGCGCACCACCAGGACAATTCAAAAGCACGGCGCTTATGCCCCCGATATACGGCAGTTTTCACGGTTTCGAGGACAAAGAGTGCGGTTTGCAACAAGTCTGGGCCCGTGTCCATCACGATGTACAGAGTAGGTCATGAGTACCTTGTCCGCGCCGCGATACTAACCAGTTCTCTTGATTCTTGAACCCCAGAGTGTGCACCGCAGTGGCATAAGCAAAAATGCACGTCTAAGAATGCTCATGTATTTACAAATACGATTAAAACTGATTATATGCAAGTACATACACGTAAACCAGACGTAGCTTGTCAAAACATGAACAAGAATAGGCAGCTGTAGACAAGTTAACCTGAACGGCTGTAGCTTGAGGTAAACAGACAGATAAACAACCCAAGCAACTACATTCCATCCATGGGTGTGTATGTATGTATGTATATATATATATACACACGCACACAGCCCAGCCACGTGTTCGCATGCCTGGGTATGCATGTTTGTGTATATAAACACATGAGGCAAATGACTATATTATAACGTTATATATATATATTTTTATTTATTTATATATATATATATTTATTTATATGTATGCTATATGCTCATACATGTATATCTGGCTGTAAATGCACATGGGCGCGTTGGGAGGGTCGCTAAAGTCGCTGTGTATGCAAGTTCTAGATACATGTTTGTCTGCAGATGTGCATACATGTGCTGGTACGTGTACATATATAGGTAAGTGTTACGTATTTGTGTATACATACCTGTAGCATTCTGTAGCGGTGCGGCCTCCCACAAAGCTTAGCCGCCTAGCCAAAATTATCTCGGTCCTTCAGGAAACCCTAGACACTTGTGACATTCTGTTCTGAAGTATACGACTTGCTACGTGGTGGTTGTGAGCGTCTAGGTGTTCCCCCAAAAACACCTAATCCCGAAGATAGCTGTAGAAATCAAGCTGGACTAGGGTATTCAGTCCTTGTGAATACCATGACTATTATGATTAATGTCACTACCATCTCGGCTTCATGATACGATGGTATCACCATTCAATAGACTATGATGAACACTATGCACATTTTATCACAGTATTATACTTCTGAATATTGAAGCTCACAAAATTTAAAAGCAGTTGTATTTCGGGTGTGACCAAGGATTGTTGAACTCAAGTCCTAAACCCTCTACAACCCGCAAGTCCTAAGCCCGAGCAGAAGAATTCATGAATTTAGGGCTAAGGTTGGCTCCCTCCCTCTGCCCTTTTACACCTGCGTATGCCAGGAACCGAGGCGCTGAGCCCCGGGCGGCTGGTGTGCGGCCTCGAGGCTCGCAGCCAAGCGCCGGAAGCGTTGGCACGCAGCCGGGGACATGCCCAGCTTCCTTGGGCTCTGTGTTGGTTTACCCTACTTTATAAGGGTTGGAAGGTTAAGTGGTTTTAGCGTTTTGGTTTAGGTTGTGGTACTATCGGGTCTGGTTGCTGCTGCGCATGCATACATACATACATACATATAGACATATAGACAAGCATACATGTACGTACAAACAGACGGAGAAAGATAGATAGATAGGTAGGTAGGTGGGTGGGTGGGTAGGTAGGTAGGTAGGTAGGTAGGTAGGTAGCTAGCTAGCTAGAGAGATAGGATAGTACATGAACAGATAGATAGACATGGATAGACAGATACCTGGACAGATAGATACACTGGTAGCTAGATAGCTAGGACCGCCCATATGTACACAGGCTGGTAGATACAGGAAGTGGGTAAATAAGCAAGCATGCATCTATGCAGGCATGCATGCACGCATGCATTATTGTTTGTATGCATACATGCATGTATGCCTGTGTGCATGTATGCGTGCATGCATGACGGCATGAATGGGTGTATGAATGCATGTATGTGTATATATATATATATGTACGTAGGTATGTATGTATGCATGCATGCAAGTATGCAAGTATGCAAGTATGCATGCACGCATGCACGCATGCATGCATGTGTGCATGTATGTATGTATGTATGTATGTATGTATATGTATGTCTGTGAGTGTATGCATGTATGTAGTAGGGACTTAAGAATGTATGTATGTATGTATGTATGTATGTATGTATGTATGTAATGTAATGTAATGTAATGTAATGTAATGTAATGTAATGTAATGTAACGTATGTATGTATGTATGTATGTATATATGTGCATGAGTAAGTAAGTATGTATGTCGGTATGTAAGTAAGTACGTATGTCTGTATGTGTGTACGTGTATGTGTGTTTGAGCGTTTGGGCGTGTGCATTTATGTCTGTGTATCTGCATCTGCACCTGTACCTGTATCTGTACATGTGAGGATGTGTACGTATTTGTATATGCATATGGCTATGTACATGTGTACTTACCCATCTGGCTGTAGTTGCTGCGGCTTCCTACTACATGGCATGGTTTTCTGTCAATTTGTTTGACTGTGTTTTTTCAAACGAGGTTTAAGTTCGCTAGAAGCTTTAAGATTTTTCACGTTTAACGGCTTGGCTTGGGCTGGCTTGTGGACAGTCACGCCTCCGAAAACCTCCAAGCTCTGGAAAAGACTACAGTGTGGACTGCTTTTGGATAGGTGGCAGTCTAATGCGTGTTTTTTTGCTTATGCAGTGTTTATAAATTTTCGGACGAAATTCTCAATGCAGGTTGTTTTAGCCCGGCGGATTTTTTTCTGCTAATCTAATGGTGAGTCTTAAATTAGTGAGCAAGAACCTAAACCACCAACACCAAAATCCTTTAGGGTACCCTTAAAGGAGCCTTAAACCCTACTCCCCCAACCTTAAACCCCAATGTAGTAGATACCTTCTTGGGGATCCCGCCAAACAGCTCCAGGTACCTCTAAATCCTCGTACTGCACAAGCGCCGTACTATGGTAGTACCACTGTACGATTACTTTATAATTACTGTCCTACTACTGTACTATTGTACTCCTTACCGTCTTACTGCTTTACCAGGCCTCACACTTGGTCGACTGTGGAGGGGAGTGTGGGTTGGAGGAATAAGTCTGCAAAGTGGAGGGTTTGTGGTCTTGGTAGCTACCTTGGAGTGATTATCTTGGAGTGATTGGGGTTTGGTTTCGAGGTTTTGGCAAAACAGTAAAGGGGCTGCTATGGTGTGGGTTAAGGCGGCTTGGAATGAAAATGCATGGCGGTGCTGTTGCAATTGCTTGTGGTGCTGTTATTGGCTGTAGGGCCGCCTACCGCACTGGCCATCAGTGATGCTATCGCATTGATGGTATGGCTGGTGGAAATGATGCGCGGAAGAATGTCTCGTGCAGTAACGTCCTAATATCTGCGTCCTTACCCTGAACTCGGAAGGACAAATAATCGCGGCCCAGCATCTTGTTAATGGCATCGAAAAGGTGAGCAACGTCTTGATCGGAGAGAAACGCGGCGCAGTGCCGAATCATATCCTCAGCTCAGCTGCGATCCCTCAACCGCCTGAACCATAAACCCTGAACCTATTGGGTGGTTCTCTAAATCATTAAGGTCCCTTTGGGGACGATAGGTATTCCTGCCACTGCGAATATAAGATCTGTCTTCCCTCCCTGCAAACTGTGTCTTTGAATCCGGAGGAGAAGCTTTGCAGTCTGCAGGCCTTTAGTAGAGATCAAGCACTCTAGGAGAGATTGTGGCATGATCTGTACCGGATCTTTGCATGGGCGGTTGCCAGGCATTCCTTTTCAAAATGGCAGTCCCAGCACACTCTGGGCCTGATAAACTCCAGCGGATGCAGCAAAATACGAAGTACCGAAGCTCCGGTAAAGGAGCCGAGCTGCGGGCTCTGGAGTCGACGTGGGGAACTCAAACATGTCGGAAGTCTTTGTGCCCACTGCTTCAGGGTTTAGTTTCAGGGTTTTCGTGTGTAATTACGGTTCTAGGGGGGACCCATAGCCATAGGCCAAGCAGCCGCCACCCCCTCCTGGCCAAACAACATGCGGCTCGGGTTTAGAGGTTAGACTAATCCGACTCTCTACCTAGAGGATCATACCCTATCCGAGTTCTCAGGGTAGAATTCCGTGATACAAAAATTTAGGTGTCCTAGAACAACAGGGGCTGGGTATGACCCTACAGGTGGCTGGAATGGGCCTTCCGACCGGACGCCTGCGGCAGGTTTAGGGTTTAGGGCGAGCGTGGTGCCGGAGGCCAATCTTTGGCCAAACCATCCGTCCTTCGACCCTTGAGCTTGTCTAATACCTGCTACTGTACTATCTGATCTTACCTGATACTGCAGTGTAGTATAGTATCCTCTTCCACTCGGTTATACTGTATATACTGTGATATATTATGTTATATTAAATATTATTGTATTGTATTGTGTCGTCTTATTAAATATCATGTTGTATTATTTGCAGTTATTCCTTTCATCCAGTACCTCTTGCATCAGATTACAGAACACATCAGCCCCTACAATGCCATCAGAAAAGGCCTGAAACACAGCCATGCAGTATGCAGCCACACATGGACCTGGCTACTTCTCTTTCTAAGACAACACCCGGAACCCACGTCCTTCGTAGCCTCGAAGCCAAAATGGGGAAGAACAAGCTTCTGTACCTGTCCGGGCGTCGGGATTGATGTTGCTTTACGGCCTAGGGCCTCAGACTTTGGGGAGTTTAGGGGATGACTCAAGGCGGCAGGAGTAAGCTTGGAAGAACTTTTCCTAATCCACCATGTCGACTTGCCGTTTTCGGAAAGCCGCATCGGTGGTTAAGTTTTGAGGTCACCCCCCCGGTGTCAGAGTGCAGAGGGTGGGTCGGCCCCAACCTTAAGGACGAAATGACCCTTAAAAGTAGGGGCCCTATATCCTTATACTATGGAGTTCCTATATGGTATATGAACCTTAAATACCATTTTCGGTATACTATGAATTCCTATATGGTAATATGAACCTTAAACCCTTTTAGGGTTCATTCATGTCCTTAAGGAAGAGACTCACTGTCGAAGCTGCGCCATTCCAGTGGCCTGCATCGCCAGCTCGGCGCGACCGGCGAGGTGGTAGTAGCCATCCTTGCTCTGAGCACTAGACCCTATAAGCCTTTAAACCGTCGAGGTTTAGGGTTTAGGGTTGCCTTAAAACTGTCCCCAAAAAAACCCTCTGAAATTGCTGCAGGGCTCTGCCGAAAAGGATTCTGCTTTCAGGCTTAGGGTGTACCTTTGGAAGGCTTTTTATCGTCACAACATGTAGCCAGACTTAGAACCCCTGAAGAACGACAGCGTTGTGGGGTTCCTAGGTAGGGCTGATGGAGGTTGCGCTTGCGGCCCTTCGAATCCACCTGCAACAAAGTGTCCCCGATGCCTGAGGTAGAGTTTCAGTTGACAGAGTTAGTCTGAATCGTAGAGTTTCAGCTGACAGAGTTAGTCTGAATCGGACATTCAGACGAACTCGGGGCCGGCATCACAGGGCTTTGCTTGGGTTCTGTGGTGAACTTTCGAAGAAGCTCAGTGCATTTTGAAGGGGGGTGGGAAACCAGCAAGTCCCTTGACCTGATACCTCCTTAACGAAGGGATCATGCAGGCCACAAAAAGTTTGTCAGGCTCCGATACTATTATTGGCTCCAATGTGGCACGAGAGTTCATAGTAGCGATTTAGGGTTCACCTATAGTCTCCATTGTAGTTCCTTTTTGGGGGGGTTACCTGATAGGAACCGAAGTATAGAACTGGTTAAACCAAAAAACGGAGCTACAATGGAGACTACAGGCAGAGTTCAAGAGTACGAGTACGAGAAAACCACGAAGTCACGTAGCAGTTGGAGGATTCCTCGCTTTGGCATCGCGGCGATTCGGTCGCTCAAAAAAGGGCTTCGTCTTGTGGTTACAAGCTGGGCGGCTGCTCCTGGAGCCTTGGGAGAGGTCAGGATGCACCTTACAGGGTTTAGGGTTTAGGGTTGTCGTAATGTAGAGCACCGGCCGAAACACATCCCTACGAGTAGTTAAGATCATGAGGCAGGGTGCGGGATCTGTGCGACCGCAGCGAGGGGCATCGGCACGCCGCTGCAGCTGTTGGATGGACTCCTGCAAGAAGCTCTTTCTTGTGAGGGGCCTGGGACTGGGACCTGTACTTACGAACCGTGCTCAGGCGCCGGAACTTGGGCTGGCTTTCTGGGACACGCGGCCGCACGGATCCTTCGCAAATCGTATAAGACCTGATCGCCAAACAAGCGCCGTGCACGCCTAACCTAACCAATTCTCTTCACTGAACGTCAAGGCCCCATAGTGTGTAATACAGGGGCCTTAACCAATAATTAGACTAGGTTTTGGAGGTATAGTATCTTAGACTTGTAATAAGGAACCCCAAAATAGCATAGGTACTTACATTAAGGCTCCTGTAATTACACACTTTAGGGGAAATCAGCCCGAAACTCTGACATCCAAGCCTGCAAGAACCAACGACCCCAACCGATCGTTTCCGAAGTGCACGTGTCATCGAGTCTCGACCCAAAGTCTGGTTTTTCAGAAAAAATTCATGGGGTTTTCAAGATCTTATGATACTTTCGAGGTGGTGTATGTCTGCTGAAGGCTGGGGCATTGTAGGGTTTGGCCACGCATCTTGTGTCATCATTAATCATGGGGCATGGGAACTAGAAATGTAGCATGCTGTAATGTGAATAGGATGCGGGAAGCCATTTTTGCACGCACGCCGAGCGGGGGCCTGAATCATTTTTCTTTACAACGAACTCAAGAATCCCATAGTTAGTGTTGCCACACTGCTCGGCGAAAAATCTAGAGCCCATCTCAACGAAAAGGCCATGCAGTAAAGTGCCTCAGCCCTCTTGCGTGAACTCACAAAAAGCTACCTTGTCAGCACGGGCCCGAGACTGTAAAGGTCTAATCTCCCAATATCTGCACCCCTAGCCCGAACCCATGCGGGGGTTTCCGTAAATAGGGGACCCTAATATAGTACCCTTAATAGTAGGATCCTTATTATAAGGACCCCAAAATAAGGTACCCTAATTTTAGGAAAGTCCCATGCATCTCTGAAGTGTCCTGGAACCAAGCTTCGCCTGAAAGTCGTTCACAGAAGTGTTGAAGAAAGTGAAACAACCAATGCTTCGTTCGCTTTAGCAGCACTGCATCATGTTCAAGTCGTCCTCTGCTTACAAGGCAGTATCGTTTGAACGTCGTTGTTATTAATGTTGTTGTTGCTGCTGCTGCTGGTGGTGGTGTTGTTGTTGTTGCTGTTGATGATGATGATGATGATGATGATTGGGATGACGATGCTGATGGTTCTTCGGATTCGCATGCTTCCTGGAATGTTGTCGCATGGTCGACCTATACGTCACAGGCCACGGAGTCTTGCCGGCTTGAATGCGCCAAGCTATGCCGCCATGGCTTTGCAGAATCGTGTCAGTGCTCTTGACCCGGCCGTCTCCGGCTGAACAAACATGTGAAGGCGACATAGCTTTAGGCTTCTCCCTGGTTGCGGAACTGGTGGTCAACTTGTGGTAAAACAAAGCATCCACAGGAAAGTCTCAAGCAGAATGCGTGCTTGAAGGCTGGAGCATGCCGCTTCTAGTGGGAGGAGCACCACAATTGGGGTTTCGTGGAAGTCGAGTAACTTATTTAGCTGCCCATACTAATTGAGGAAGCTTCAACGATCCAGGATCTATCAACAAGCGGCTCCTCTCGTGCCTGGAGCTTTCCTAGTGCTGCTAGTGACAACCGTAACAGTCAAAGTGAATGTGAATAACGAGACAAGAAAAGACAACGTGGCAAAGAGCTCAAAACTTGACCACAAATAGCAACAAAGAGTAACGACCCGAGCCCCAAAGAACACAAAGCCTAAACGCAAAGCCAAAACCAACTGTTGCATCCCTTGAAGAAGGTCCCAAACTTGAGTTTGCAAACTTGACTTCAGCTCAGTCGCTGAAGTTCAGCAGCCTCGGATGTCAGTTCTCTAAAGCTCTAAGGATTGCACCATCTTATGTAGATCTAGCATGTACTTGCATGTAGCGCCTAGGGCCAGCTATTGCTTTAATGCACTGGTCACCGGTTCAACTCGATATGCATGCATCTGCCAGCCAGCATGCATAAATGCATACATGCAAACATTACATACATGCATGCATGCATACATACATACACACTCGCACTCCACGGCGCCAGGCGAGGTGTATGGCCGGCAACAACGAACTCCAAACCCAGCTGGAGGCTGTCTTTACACGACCTCTCTTAGTACGTATAGACATACATACATGCATGCATACATACATACATACACACACACACCTCACATACACATACACACACACATATATATATATATATACATAGATACATACATACATACGTACGTACGTACATACATGCATACATACACATACATACATACATACATACATACATACATACATAAATGTTACATACATACTTACATGCATACATACGTACATACCCACTTACATAAATGCATGCATGCGGACATACAGACATACAGTCTTTGTTGCAGATGTACAACTACACACATCCAAACTTAATGCTGATACCTGGTACCAGGTCAAGAACCGTAATTCGTGGCAATAGGAAATGCATGCTTACGTAACTGCATGTGCATGTGTGCATAGATGGGCCCTAAAACCAGGATGCTTCTGCAAGCCGCTGCGTGGCCGAAATGGCGCATCTCAAGAGGCCCTTGCCCTGCATTCAAGAACGAGCCACTACGCCCATAAACCCCTGCAACAAAACCTGCGTTTTTTTGAGGGTGATAATAATTTAGCTTCTTACAGTATAGATCTGCGGCAAGAAAGCCCGATAATGCGGCCAGGGGGACAGGCTCCTTAGCAGAAGGTAGATGGCCGGCTTGGTGTCTGGCTTCGGGCAGCTCGTTCCCATCTCACTTGGGACCTCCTTCTCCTCCGGGCCAAAGGTGTGCGCAGGATCATACCCCGACACTACAAGAGTTCGTGGCGTTATAAGTTTATGAGCTGATGAACTATCAGATCAGGTTTTGGCTTGAACTTGCTTGCCTTTGTTTGCCTTAAAACTGCACCTCTTTGGTCCCGTACTTCCGCCAGAATCTTAGAGCTAGTCTCAACCCTAATTTGGGGTCATATTGCCCTGGGGACTTGCGGACGGGGTTGCTTCAGCAGAGGGACTCCAAGATAGGGTATCAGATAAGGAGACTCCTACTGCTTGGAGAAAACTGGGGCGGATATCAGGGTCGGTGGTTGTTGTCTGAAACTCGCACGTCATCCCCCGAACCCCAAAGCCTTAAAGGGAGCCATCGTCTTGAACTGATCGGCTGAAGCCCTCACAGTGCTCTGGGGCTCACGGGTGAAGGTCCGGATGAGTGTTACATGCATCTTTTGTTCTAAGGCCCTTTTCCAGTTTAGGGAATTAAAGGTTTTTGCGTCTAGTGCATGGGGTTTGCGGGGCTTGCTTGTGCTTACGACTCGCCATTCTTTTGCAAGACGACCCATTGCGAGGTGCTTCATCTCCACCATGACGAAGAACGTTTGGTGCAAGCGAAACTTCAGGCCTTAATTATGACACCTACGAAAACTTGGGATGACAAGCCCACTTCTTACATTACACAATAAAGGTGTTAGACATCGGGGCCGTAATAGAAAAAACAACCTACATGGGACTTACGTTGTAGGATTCTGGCTGTAAAGACTTCACAAATAGGGTATCCCTAACTTTACGAGAGACTCCGGATAGCATGGGACCCCTTGTACAATGAGGACACCGTAAACGCTGTCACACACCTCGGTCCTGGGCAACCTCAAGCGAGCTGTACAGTGCCTCCTCGATGGCCATTGCATTCACCTCCAGCCGAAACCCTCGACTGTGTGCACAGGGTTTTGTATCTTAAACAAGTCCCTCTAGGGCTTTAACTCCTGAAGCCCAACGGATGAAGCTCAAAACCCTGAACCCCATTGATACACTAAAGCCTAACTCTCACACCCCACACCCTAAAGCCCTCCACCATAATGGCTTGAAGACTATGAGGCTTCACCGGTTGGAGTTGATTTGTCAGGCTCGTGGCTCATGAGGCTAATGGTGCCTGAGTCTAGAGGTCATGGTCTTATGGGGCTACGGGTTTAAGGTTGGCTTGTCCGGTTTTTGGGCCGGGTGCTTAGGAAACTGCCCTTGGACAGGTCGCTTAACGCGGCGCGGAACAGTAGAAGTTTGAGTAGAAACACCTATGTTTTCGGATGATGCTACGATCCGGAAACACAACACTGAGCCGCAACTATGTATGATACCTTGATATCTGAGTTGCCTGCATGATGAGACATAGGAAAGAAGTGGCTACTGGAACCCATTTCGAAAGCTTTTCGGGCAGCTTTAAGCCGCAGATAGTTGAAATCCTGCATGAAAACCCTCGGAGCTCCGTTACCTATGTGGTAAGATACAGGGTTATGGGCACTCTAAGACTCTACGGGTTATATTAGTGTTCAAGGGACAGTAATTATGATCCACTATACACCAAAGTCACGGTAAGTGGGCTCCTAGGAGAACCGTAAACCTAAACCCGAATCACCCCTTAGCCACTAGACTTAAGTCTAGCCGGAACTGAACCCTAACCCAGAACTTAACCCTAACGTCTAAAACCCTATAAACCCTAAACCCTTTACCCTAAACATCCCTTATAAACCCTCTAAACCCTAAAACCCAAAGCCTTTACCCTAAACCCTCAACATCCCTAAACCCATTTGCCTTAAACATCCCTTAAACCCTAAACCCTTCACACTAAACCCTCAACATCCCTAAACCCTGAACCCGAGGCACATAGATGTCAGAATCATCCTCGAGCTCCTTGAGCGCCTGGGTCATCTCCTGGGAAGCAGCGAGTCGAGCTGAGGTGTTGCAATTAGGGCTTGGGTTTAGGGTTTAGGGTTTAGGGTTTAGGGTTTAGGGTTTAGTTAGGGTTTAGTTAGGGTTTAGGGCTTGGGTTTGCTTGGTTGAGGGGCCGAGGTTTTGTCCCTCCCACGAGGGGACATGAGACCCGGGGATCTCATGGATGTCACAAACCCTAAAGCCTAAACCCGGAGTGGCCGGATCTGCTGCGAACTTTGAGGCCTTGGTCTTCCATAGTGGAACCGATCCAATTTCCTTGGATGTTGGGTTTCGGAGACCCTAAACCCTAAACCCCTAAACTCTTAAGCCCTGAACCCAAAAACCCCTAAACCCCTAAACCCCTAAACCCCAAACCCCTCAACCCTAAACCCCCAAACCCCTAAACCCCTGAAGGCTTACAGGGTGCTAGGCGTCTGTATACAGAGTGCCGTCGAAGTTATGATCTCGAAACTCACGGGGTCCATCTGGTCTGAGACCCGCAGACGTACGTGTTGAGGCGTGCGCCAAAGAGTCAGTCATGTGGTTGGGCTCGAGTCTCAACAGTGCCGCAGTGCATGCGGAATTGCAGGTTTTGGGCCATGCTCCCAATACAAATCTGAGCCTATCATCCGTGAATCCGAAAATTGTGGGAACCTAAACCAGAAGGCCCATCTAGCCCCTTTGCTTGAGGTCCGAAACTAAAGCGCAGCAAGTACAGCAAGCAATGCTCTCGTGAAACTACTGAAGCCTTAGAATACACCATGATTCGCCCAAAAATCCTGCTGAAACCCCATAGACACCTTATTATTGATTACGTTTGGGCGGCCACTACATCCCATAACCCTATGGCATCCATCGGACGAGGATGCCTCAATGCCTTCCTCCGACGGGTCAAAGCCATATTGCGCGATGATCTCCTGGGATGCGGTTTAGGGACTACCTGGGTTGTCGTTTTGGGGCCCTAAAAGATGTTTATTAATATGTACCTCTATATATGGACCTAACGTTACCCGAAGTGCCACCTAGTTAAGGTTGCAGTAAGGTATAGAAGGTCCCGGACTCGGACAACCCAGAACCATCACTCGACAAAGCTCTTGATGCTAAATCATCCTAAGCTTTCACCATGGGAGTTAGGATTAGGGGGACCCTGGGGGATATAGACCCTCTCAATAAGGTCCCCTTTAAGAGAGCTACAAGTAGGGTTCAGAAGGGTCCCTTTAAGGGGTCTCCCTAATACTACCTAGGACACCAGCACCTAGCCGGCGGCCTGTACACCACCCCGAGCGCGCTCACGTATTGCAGGTGCACGGGCTTGAAGTGAGACGTATGCAATTTGATAGCCAATTAACTCAAGAACCAACGATAACAACGTAAATAGTGGTGTGTTTGCATACATGCACGCATAAATACACACAGACACGCATACAGACATGCCCGATATATATATATATATATGTATATGTATATATATATATATACATACACACACACACATGCATACCTACCTACCTACCTACCTACCTACCTACCTACCTACCTACCTACCTACCTACCTACCTACATACATACATACATAGATATATATATATATATTTATTTATTTATATTTATATTTATATATTATATAATCATACACAATTACAAGTGCTTGGAAAAGGTGGCGTGAACAAAATCAACAGGCAAGTCGAGCTCAGCGCAAAAACTAAACCGCCTATAGACCGCCAAAGTCCCGACTTGTTTGAATCGCCCAAGGTCCTGCTGTGGCTTCCGCATGATTTTCCTCAGAAGTCTTGAGCTGATGGTGTTTAGTGGATTTATGGGTTTAGGGTTTGGGGGTCCGCGCTTTGGGCTTCGGCATGCTTCGGCTTCGCATTTGGAGTTGGAGAGGGCGCAGGGCTTCAAGTTGTGGCTTGCTGTTATTATAACCCATCCAAGCCAGGGTTAGGCCGGCATAGGGCAATCAATGGCATGACCTTTTCCAACGGAATCGAATCCGAAAATATGCAGACAGAACCGCAAGCAACTTGACACATGCGTCTTACACAATAGGCCCAGGCCAACCCTTGTCCCTGGACCCCGAAAAGCCAGAAACTTGCAGCACAGACCCACCAGCTCATCTTGCCTATAAAGCATAAACCAACCGTTTAGCAGCATGCGCAGCCTGACCTCAAGCCTGCATTGCGAAAACCGAGAATCCGCAGGCTCTTGTGGAAGTCGCTGCTGTCCTTGTCAGCGTCTTTCCTGGTGAGGTAGGGTAGGCGCGTAGGCCCAAGGGTTATATAAACAAGTTAGAAGGTACATGGTTGTAACTATAGTTGTAGCGTTTAACAATCCCCAGAACCCCAAACCCTTTGTAACTGGGCGTGCTGCAGTGTCAGGTTTGGGGTTTTAGCGGGCTTGACTTGGGCACGTTGGGTGACAGTCGGATCCTCATATGCTGCGGTGTACCTAGCCAGCGACTGGGCAAAGAATTAATCGATGTGTCACATGCACCCGTAACTTCAGCAAGCAAACAAACAAAGATCACTACACCATCCCAAATATAGTAGGAACCATAAGAGCCTAGGACCTAGGATCTAGGGGAGGCTCAAAGAGAAAAGCTTTAGGGTTTAGGATTTGGGGTTTAGGGTTTAGGGTTTTAGGGTTTAGGGTTTTAGGGTTTAGGATTTAGGGTTTAGGATTTGGGGTTTACGCTCTCACAACTTGGATAAGTTAGGTGAGGTTCATGGTGCGAAGGTCGGTGTGAAAAGGAACCCCGTTTGGGGTTTAGGATTTAGGGTATAGGGTTTAGGGCCTACTTTACTTAGGAACCCCAGAGGTCCGCTCTGGCCCTGTAAAGCAAAAAAGGCCCGGGCCTGATCAGTGCCTGCAACTTCTTCTGGAACCGTGCCGAGCTAAAGGCACCAAGCCTCAAGCAGACTCTGTTAGGGTTTAGGGTTTACGGGTTACGGGTTTAGGGTTGTCAAATTCAGCGTTTAGGCTTGAGGCTTGAAGGTTTAAGGGCTAGCTGTTGGCAAGGTACTTCAGATTGTTGCTGACAGTTTTGCCAT